AGCGAGAGAGGCAGGGGGAGTGGGAGAGGGAGAAGCAGGCTTCCCGCGGAGCAGGGAGCCCGATGTGGGGCTCGATCCCAGGACCCTGGGATCATGAGCTGAGCCGAAGGCAGACGCTTAACGACTGAGCCACCCAGGCACCCCTATTTTTTATTTTATTAAAAAATGTTTTTTAAAGGTTTTATTTATTTATTTGAGAGAGTGAGTGAGAGAGCATGAGCAGGATCAGAGGGAGAGGGAGAAGAAGATTCCCCTCTGAGCAGGGAGCCCGATGTGGGGCTCAGTCCTAGGACTCCGGGATCGTGACCTGAGTTGAAGGCAGATGCTTAACTGACAGAGCCACCCAGGCGCCCCTATAATTTTATATTTTAAATGTCATACAAGACATATACAAAGTGTATACATGGTTGGAAAAAGGGAACACCTGTGACTGCTGGCTAGTTATAGAACATTCCTGTCACCCCGGAAACCCTGTTGTTGGGGACCAAATGTTTGTATCCCCCAGTATTCATTTATTGAAGCCCTAACCCTCACTGTGATGGTATTTGGAAATGGGTCTTCAGGAGGTAATTAGGGTGAGATGAGGCCATGAGGGTCAGACCCTCCTGATGGGATTGGTGCCCTTAAAAGAGGAGATACCAGAGAGCTCACTGTCTTTCTCCCCACACAAGCACAGAAGAAAGGCCAAGGGGAGCCTCAGTAAGAAGACGGGCTGTCTACAAGCCAGAAAGAAGCCTCTCACCAGGCACTGAATTGGCTGGCACCTTGGTCTCAGGCTTCCTGGCTTCTAGAACTGTGAGAAAATGAATGCGTGTTGTTTAAGCCAGCTGGTCTATGATACTTTGTCATGGCAGCCCTTTTACACTAAGACATTCATGTATCTCTTTCCAAACACTACCTCCATCTTCCCTCAAATTTAAGAGTAATAATTTCCTTGCTTTCTTCGAGAGTTGACTTCCTGTGTTTAGTTTTACCTGTTTTTGAACTTCATATAAATGGAATTTTATATATATATATATATGGCTTTTTTTTGGTGACTTGCTTTTTATCCTCAATGTCACCTTGGTAAGATCTACCCATTTGAGCACAGATTTGCAGTTCTTTTGTTTTCATACTGTATGGTGCTTTCTAGTACAGATATATCACTATATACCCTTCCATTTTATGGAATAGGCATCTTGGCTGCTGGTAAAAACATTCTTAGGCATGTAGCCTGTTGTACATTTGAACATGTATGTCTAAGGTATATACCTTGGACTGGAATTTTTGAGTCATTTGGTATGCATATCTTCAACTTTATTAGATAATATCAGTTTCCCAGAATGGTTACATTAAATTACATCCCCACCACAGTGCATGAGAGGTCCAGTTTTTCCACACTCACCAACATTTAGTGTTGTCAGAGTTTTTAATTTTGTCAAGCAATGGGTGTATTATGTTAACTCATCGTAGTTTTAATATGCATTGCCCCCATCTATGAATGAGGTTGAGCACCTTTTCATATTTATTGGACAGTTTGATTTCTCCTTTTTGTAAAACGGCTCTTCACAGCTTTTGCCCATTTAGGAAAATTATATCATTTGCCTTTTTTTCTCACTGATTTGTAGGAAATCTCCATATAATCTAGAAACCAGTCCTTTATCAGTTATATATATTGCAAATACCTTCTTCCACTCTGTGGCTTGTCTTTTCACTCTTATAATGGTGTTTTTTGAGGAACAGACGTTCTTAATTTTAATGTAATAGAATGTATCACATATTCTCTTATTGTTAATGCATTTTGTGTAATGCTTAAGAAACCCTTCCCTTACTCAAGATCTTAAAAATTTTCTCCTCTTTTCTGTTCCAAAACCTTTGTACACTTATCTTTCACACTAGGTCTTTGACCTGCAAGTAATTTTTGAAAATGGTGTGAGGAAGCGGTCGAATTTCCTTTTTTTCCATATGGAAATCCAGTTGTCCCACATCTATTTTGCTGCTCTGACATGACACCTCTGTCATAAATCAAGTGTCTGTATGTGAATGAGTATGTTGGTCTACCACATTCTAAAGCCAAACTCCTATCTGCCATGTGATACTGCCTTTTTCTCTGAAGGAAATGTGACAGACATAATGGGCTTTAGATTCAACCAGAGCAGAATCTCAACTCACAGTCTCCACCTCCAAAAATGCTTACTAGCTGGGTGGTGTTGGCAAGTTATTTTATCTCTGAGCCCATGCTTTTCCTGCATGGTCATTGTAAGGAATAGACACAACTTGTGATACCTAATCACCTTTATCTTTACTCATATTTCAAAGGTAAGCACTTGTTTTGGTTGGAGACTTGGGGCCTGGGTTCTGTAGTATTAATTTTCTATTGCTGTATAACAAATTGCCATAAACTTAGTGGCCTCAAACCACACCCATGTATTACGTTCCAGTTCTATAGGTCAGAAGTCTGGGTGGGCTCAACTGGGTTCTCTGCTTCGGGTCTCAAAAGGCTGAAATCGATGTGCTAAATCTGGTGGAGCTCTTAACTGGAAGTTTATGCAAGTTTATTTTAAGTTTATGCAAGCTTCTATAAGTTGCTGGCAGAACATAGTTGCTTGCGGTTGTAGGACTGAGGCCCCTGCTTTCTTGCAGGCTGTCAGCCAAGGGTTGCTCTTAGTTCCTAGAGGATGCTCTTGGGTTCTCTCATGCCTGGCCTCCTCCATCTTCAAGTTAGCAACAGCACATCAAACCCATCTCATGCTTTGAATCTCTCTGACTTCTTGAACAAACACTCTGCCTTTAAAGAGTTCACGTGAGGAGAAAAAGCCTACCTGGATAATCTCTCCCTTTTAAGGTCAACTGATTGGTGATTACATCTGCAAATCCCTTTTGCCATCTAACAACGTAATCTCCCAAGTAACAGTAGGGGGCAAGGCGATGGGGACCATGTTAGACTCCTGCTTACCATAGTCTTACTAGATATGTTACTTGGACTGCAGATTTCATGATGGTCCATTTGGTAAGAATTTTTTGATATATGTTAGAAAACCCAAAATACTTCATCAGCTTATTCCAAGTTCCCGAATCAGCTAGAAACGTTGACTATGACTTGCCTTCATGGAATGTTGGCCCTCTTCCCTGCAGACATATCTGTTTTTTCATGCAAACTCTTGGTGATTTGGATGCTATTTTTATCTGATATCTCCATACTTTATTGCCCACCCTTCTGTCCTTTATGGAAATAACATCAATCTACAAATATGTTGAGTATATTACATTCATAGCATTTATCCAAATCCAAGATCACACCTGACAAGGTGTTAGGCCTGTAGTAGGTATTTCTTAGAATTTTGTTGAATGAATGAGTGATGAATGGGATTCAAAAGGGATTTGCCCTTAAGTAGACTACTGTCTATTTTAGAAATAGGCCATATGCACACACAAGATGAATAATAAGAATTTACCTAGCTAGTATGTATGTCTGTATGTATGTATTCCCAACTAGTTTTTTTAAAAAGTGGTCCAGTAGATCATTTTGTGTGTGTGTGTGTGTGTGTGTGTGTGTGTGTGTGTGTAAGGAAAGCTTTGTGGAGGAAGCAGAGCTAAATTAGGCCTTGAGAAATATGCATTGTTTGGATGTTTGGGAGGATGACCCACAGGCGGGGTAGGGAGAATTGTGTGAGCAAAGGTGCATTTTGGGAAGGGAGCAACCATTCTGGGTGGGAATCAAGATCTGAGTGGCAGGTTGTAGCCTCACAGAAGTGTTGAATGTCAAAGAAGATACAGAAGTGTTTGACTCAGTTATCTCAAGGAGCCAAAGGTTTATCAAAGTAAAGTACTTCTACTTCTCTGGAATAAAGGTGATATTAATGCATAATTTTCTTAGTTTACTAAGAAAGATTTCCTAAGAAATTTTTCCTCATTTTAAGAACTTCCTCTCATAAATACCACCTTGGGTCCTCAGGAGAAAAAGTACTGTTTGCAAGGTAACAAACACACACATTTCAAGTCAAAACAAAATAAGAGTCCTTTATTCCATATTCAGCTAACCAACAACAATCTGAAATAATGTTGATTTTTTAGTTCATCACCATTAGACTTGCTGGAGTTCTTTCTCATCCTTTGTAGAAAGTGGTAAGCAAGGCTATCTGAGGACAGCATCAAGTACACTTGTGGGAACAGTGGGCGAAACACACACACCACACTGTCAATGGAGAAACAGCCCTAAGCAAACGCCTAGCAAAGGCAAAAAGATCTGTTATGTGGTAGCCTCACTAGGAGTCAATGTTTTATGAGAAGACCCAACCATGGGAAGGGGCAGGTGAGAATGAAGACATACACACAGGCTGCACTTGACTGACCAGTGCCCTGAGTGGGAATCCCACTCGAAATGGACTGCAGTTTCCGGGGAGATTTTCTGTGTGTCTCTGTCCTTCAGGTTCTGCCCGTATGACAGAGCCTGGCCATAGCCACTGTCCTTGGGGTAAAGGAGCTTTCTCCCCCAGATACTCTATTCTACTAGTCTGAGGGACCTCAATGTTTATGGGATTGCCAAATCTTAGTTAAGAATCAATGGGAGGAAGCCATAATGCAACATATCTAACTATGTTAAATGCTTCATGGGCGCCTGCCAGCTTCCAAACTTGCCAGGAGGCATACAGTGTTTCTGAGGAAGGAGAAATGCAAACTGAGCCCCAAGGTCAATTCTTCAACATCAAACTGTCATATTCTCAACTTACTCTTCCTCTGTGGCACTTGGAATAAAGAGCCTGACCTTGATGGCCTGTCTCTCCTCAGTTCTGCAATAGGTCAGCGAGTGGGTGGTAGGGTTTTTGGAGGAGCGACGTACCCAGAACAGTTGGGGGACTCCCCAAGAGGTGCTTTGGTGTAAATCAGTCTTGGAGAGGCACATGATCTAGGTATTTGACCTTAGGTGCACTTCCTGAAGATGGACATTTCGCTTGCATTGTCTGGTGCTACCCAGGCTGGTTCCGGGCAGCCCTCAGGCTCCAGGAGCTGCTTCACAAGGCTCACTCAGAATCCACTGTGTGGTCGAAGGCATGCTGGGAGCGCCTCTGCTTCCTGGATGAAGCATACAGGTACGCCAGAAACACCAGACACAGCAAGGCCACTGCTGTGAAGAAGGCAAGGATGCCCATAAAGGCAGGTGGGTCCATGGGCAGGTGGATCAGGGGGCTTTCGGCTGGGATCTGGTTGGTCAGGCTGAGCATGTAGCCCAAAGACCAGGCTATGCTGCTGTTCCCCACCTGTATGGTAGAAAGATGGATTAGTTATCAGGGTAGGGCTCGAGATGGGAATTACACACATACACCACTGTCATCCTTATGAAACACCCACCAGAAACTGTGGCCTAACGTCAAAGGACTTGCCTAAGTTCAGACACTGCAGAGACTGGGCTAGAATCCAGGTCACTGAGACCCTACCCTCAGCACTGTGGAGAAATCGTCAGAGTCCTCACAAACTCGTCACAGCCAAGTGGGATGATGGCACAGTTAATAACAGTGGGAGTTTCTCTACTGTCCGGTACAGAACTGTCTGTGGCTAAAGAAAGAGGGTAATGAGCAGTTTACTGAAGCCAGGACCAGTTTCTAAGCACAGGGGGTCAGTCTAAATAGGAAACAGACTTTGTCAATTTCTTATGTTAGTTCCATCAGTTTTTGTTTCCATGTTTTTATTAGGCTGTTTTACCAGATACAAAAAAGTTTCAAATTTGCAATCTTCAGAAGGAACTCTATATCACTATGTTGTATTCCTTTGTATCTTGAATGATCCTCCTTATTTTAAAGATTATTTGGTCAGATATTAAATAGCTATACTGAAATTTTTAAAAATTAGCTATACTGTTTTCTTTTGGGTAGTGTGTTTGCCTGATAGTTAAATTTTTTTTAATTTTTTAATTTTTAATTTTAATTTTATTTTACTTTTAGATTTTATTTATTTATTTGACAGAGAAAGAGACAGTGAGAGAGGGAACACAAGCAGAGGAGTGGGAGAGGGAGACGCAGGCTTCCCGCTGAGCAGGGAGCCTGATGCGGGGCTTGATCCCAGGACCCTGGGATCATGACCCCAGCGGAAGGCAGATGTTTAATGACTGAGCCACCCAGGTGCCCCTAAATTTTTTTTTTTAATTTTCAAACTTCCATGTCCTTTTGCTTAACACCTAAGGGTTTCTCTTACAAACAATTTATACTTGATTTTTAACAATCTAATCTGACAATATCTGTCTTCTAACTGGTAGGCTTAGTCCATTTATGATTATTGTGATTATTGATATATTTGGACTACTTCTTTCTAATATCTTAGTTTTAAATTTTCAATTAGTGCTATTTTCCTTTTTCTATATTTTTTCCTTTCTTGCCTTAAAAATGATAGATAAATAAAGTCCACCTTTACAGGATGAGCATTTTAGGCCACTCTTGTGACCCTTCACCCTGCTCCCTTCACACTGGATATTAGCTGTATTTGAATTTTGGGTTGTCATGAATGGACTCTTTTCCCTTTCTTTGGTGTAAGTTTTCTTTTTTCTTTTTTTAAATATACAGTTTAAGCCACCACATCATTTATTCTTCCTGCCTATATTTTTATAACATTTCCTGGATTTATGTCTCTTCTTATTTGTTTTTTTTCCTCCAAAAATATTTTTGACGTCTCTGTGTGGCAAATCTTCTAAATCTTTTTATGCCTTCACGTTTGAATACTAATTTGGCTGTATATAAACTTATTTTATTTTTTAAGATTTTATTTATTTGACAAAGAGAGACGCAGTGAGAGAGGGAACACAAGCAGGGGGAGTGGGAGAGGGAGAAGCAGGCTTCCCACGGAGCAGGGAGCCTGATGCGGGGCTTGATCCCAGGACCCTGGGATCATGACCTGAGCCAAAAGCAGATGCTTAATGACTGAGCCACCCAGGCGCCCCTGTATATAAACTTCTTTATGAATAAAAGAAAGGGATTTGAAGGCTGGAATTCTGTATCCATCCAAACTGGTATCCGAGGGGACATCACTCTCCGTTCTCAGAATGTACTTTCCTGCTAATTAGATTCATTAGAAGCAAAGCGTAGAGAGTGCATGCCACCAAGAGTTCTTATATGTCTCCAGACAGTCTTATCTTTTCGTAGATGACTCAATTTTCTATATGTAAAAGTAGACAGTCACAGGCCTAATGCTGGCTATTGATTGGTTTAATCTAATTACTGCTAAAGCTAATATCAAACAGACTGACTCCAAGCTTTATATCGGCTATTCCTGAAATGAGAAAATTCTCCCGAATCCCGGGAACATAGGCTGGGTGAACATTTCAGCAAGGTTGAGTCCTGCCTGGAAACAAGGCCTGAAGGGTGACAGGTCAAACAGTCACCAGTAAATACAGTGACCTCAGGCACATGCCAAGAGAAGTTCTTACTTCGTGCTGCTGTAAATACCTAATACTCTCTGTTACCCTGACATCTGTGTAAAATGGAGAGCAGTTACTAGCCTCTTAAAGAATCACTGCCCTATTTAAAGCTTCTTATCCAGCTGAAAAGTCTGATCCTTAAGATATTTATATATACACTCAACAAACATTTATTTAGTAACATTTAGTAAACACCTTCTAGGTTTTCGCTCCTGTGCTGAAGATAATGAAACAGGTCCTGCGCTCGAGGAGCTCAGGGTCTGTGAGCTCTTGGCCTCTGATCCCTCACCCATGTGGAAGGGTCTCCAGTGACACCTCCTCTGGATTCTCCACCATCTCTTCTGGAAAGCTCACAAGGGATTGAAGTCTCTTCAGTTTCCCCTCAGCAAACTGAAATCACCCTCTTAACTTCTACATTTCTTCCGCACCTATATACACAAGTCTTTTGAGAGGAAGAGGAGAAAACAACCTGTGCCTTGACTTACTTCTTTTTTAAAATGTATTTGGGGCCAGGTCTCCTCGGTGAATCTGTATCCATTCACGAGCAAGTGGTAGATATAGTGGGCTGAGAAGCAGTAGGAGCGGGCGTATACCTCGTCAAACCTGGGGAGCAGCAGCGGGAGCTGAAGAGGAGGTCCCAAACACATGAGGCAGGCACGTTTGATAATGCAAGTTTCAGAACACATTTTAAAGACTCTCAACCCCTAGAATTTCATAATACCATCACCATAAAATCATCCAATTGTATCAGATCATAATGAAAATACCCCTATGCAGTATGGGTACACCACATGCTGTTGTAACCATTGTGCCTATGGTCAGAACATTCATCCACAATGTGGGTATGAGGTAGTTTCCCTTATTATCCCATTTTGTGGGTGTGGTGAAAGCAGAACGGCATAAAGTCCCAACTCGGAACAAGTGCACACACGCACACAAATGGAATATACTCGGCTCCGTTCACTGTGTTGTACGGATGCTGCCCCTTTCCCTTTAAATACTGACCTGACTCCAGCTCTCTGAGCAGAAATCCCAGGTGCTTGAGTTGAAGGCTTTCAGGGAAAAGCTCCCCGAAAGATTGAAAGCACTGGCTGTGTAGTAGAATCCTGCAAAAGCCTGGAAGGGGGTTGCACAGAAGGAAGTCAGTTCTCAGAACGCGATATGTTATGGAGCTTTCAGTGTGGGGAATAAAAAAGTGGGAAAACAGGGCAGCAGAAGAGAAACAAAGGGGAGAGCTAAATCTTCAATGGGGGAAAAAAGGAATCTTTTGGTGGTTTTTGCTCTTACCACGAATGCCCCTTTAACTTTTGGCTGATAAACCCCATCAAAAGAACAGGCTTCTTGGTCATGGCAAGCTTTGAAGTCAAACAGGAAAGCCACCTTTTCCCTACACAGCGATGGGTCTCCGCTTCCTTCAAAAGTGATGATGTCATCAGGGTCATAATTTACAGGCCTCAAGTCTGCTGTGCACAGGCTGTCAAATATGTAGCCCCCAGTGAGGGTGGTGACATAATTCCGAGGGTAACAGGGGTTGATGATATTGGTTTTGGTGGGAGAATCCTGTAGGTACAAGAAGGAGGTGTCAGAAACCACTCTTGTGGAGGGCCAAAGTGTTTCCCTCTTACAACTCCTCAGTATTGCACCCTCCCATGCCAAGAGAGAAATGGATGGAAAACATGCCATTTTGTGTCAGTGTGCACTTGAAGGCAACTCCCAGGTTGTCTTGAGAACTCCAGTGGGGGTGGGTGAACCTGCACCAGGCACGATGCCAGGCTCTCGCTCATATTATCTGACCCACTCCTTAAGACAGTCCTGGGAAGCAGGTTTTATGAAATCCATTTGTATGGGAAAACAAGATATGTTTAGATTAATTGATCATTTTGAATAGAATATCACCTATCCCCCTAACAAAATAATCCAAACGGTTACAAATAAGTATATTATGAAAATTAAGGTTCCCTCCCAACCACTTCTAGCCACCAGATCCCCTCCCTAGAAGTAACCACTATTGCCAATTTTTGTGATTTCCTGCCAGAGATACTTCTTGTATGCATATGCAAATATCTTTTCTTCTCCTCCCTCTTCCTTTTTCTAAAAACAATAAATCGTAGTACTCTATACACAGTTATTCCCCTTGCTTTTCTAACTTAAAAATATACCTTTCACATCTTTCCCATCATGCATGTAGAATGACCTCTTCTTTTTAGTAACTGCATAGCACTCCACTGTACAAATAAACTATAGAGGAGATTCCTTAGATAAGGAATATGAATATGAATATTTAGATGGTTTCCAATCATTCTGCATTATAAACAAGGCTGCAACAAATATCCTTGTTACATATAAATCCTTGATCCGTTTGTAATTTATTCGGTGTAAAGATTGTAATAGGGAACCTGATTTTACTTTTTTCAAATGACTATCCAATATTTTATCTACTGGTGAAAAATATTCTTCTTATCTTATGCTAAATTCCAAAGTGTGTTTGGTTCTATTTATGGACTCCCTTTTCTAAGGAATTGGATTTGAACTCTGTCCAATTTCAAAGCCACTTAAGCATCTCCTGCCATAAAGTCTTGACTCAGACAATATTTATTCCAACTCTTTCAATTTACTGATGTAGGAAATTGAGATACACAACAAAGTAATGCAATCATTTAACAAAGGCCAGTGACAGGACTCCACACGTAAGTGTCCAGAAGACCAGCACTCATCCAATGTAACTCTAATGAGCGTCCTCCAGAAGATCTTAATATGACTGAGTCTGTGGAGGCAGCAAACAGGCTCCTTTCTGCTTCAATGGTATGAAAAAAATTCACGATTTTCAAAAATTGGTATGTCTAATTTGTAACATGTCACACCAGGGTCACCCTATGGCTGAAATATTGGTTTAAAGGGGAAAAAAAGAGAAATCAATCAACTGGTTATTTAATTTCCCCCTCCAAATCTGACATACTTTTTAAGTAGTTAAAATGAAATAAATTATTTCTGGCTTGGCCTGGGGAAGAAGCAAGATATTATCAATTATTTCTGGCTTGGAACATAGAAGAAGCTCAGGAAAGATTATTTCTTTTTTTTATTTTAGGATTTTATTTATTTATTTGAGAGAGAGCGAGCACGCGGATGAGCATGAAGTGGGGAGGGGCAGAGGGAGAAGCAAACTCCCCGCGGAGCAGAGAGCCAGATGTGGGGCTCCGATCCCAGGAGCCTGGGATCATGACCTGAGCTGAAGGCAGATACCTAACTGACTGAGCCACCCAGGTGCCCCTAAAGATTACTTCTATGCTCCTTTTGGAGTTTGAATGATTTGTGATGGCGTTCTTTAAATATAATTTGCCAATGGTCCAAGTTGCTCAGGCCCTCAACATTCAACAAATCTCCCCTGAACTTAGTATTTGCACGGCACTGGCACTAAAGGGTCAACCATTAGGCTTGAGAGCCAAGAAGTCCAGTGGAAAACTGCAGCATAACTTGGACTTGGAGTAAATCCCATCAAAAGTGGAAAAGTGGAGATAGGAACTATCTTCAGTAGTGATGGAAACTATTAAAAGAACACACCAGGAAACTAATTTAAAAGGAAGGCACAGGACCAATAATGAAAACTATGTTTTATTGAAGGATACAAACCAAGAACTAAATAATTGGAAGGATATTTTATAATTCTATAGGGGAATTCATAATATCATCGATTAGCCAATTTTTTACCAAATTAATTTTCAGTCAATGCAACTGCAATTATAATTTCAATGAAAAAAAGTTTTCCTTTCTGTTACTCTTAAAATGATTTTGAAGTTCAGAATAAATGTCTGAGACTAGAAAAACAAACTACTGCAACTAGAATAATTGGCTCAAGAATGGAAAAATGGATGAATAGAACAGGAAATCCAGAAACAGATCTTCCTTATCCAAGGACTTATTACTGGAATATCCCAGAATCCCTGAAATTATCAGATTGCAAAGAGTCATCACAACTTTGTTGGTGGGAATTTGGATGGTTTTTAATTTTGTTGGAAGATTGCCTATTTATCCACTTATATAAAAAATATACCTACCCTTCGATTCTATCCTACAGAAGCAAAATCACTATTTCATAAGGTTATATGCACAAGAAGCTTTACTGGATTATTATTGCTGCAGCAAAACAGGACATAGCCTGGTGTCCATCAGGATAGGAGTGCTTGACAAATTGTGAAATACTAGAGGGTAAAGAAAATAAGTTAGATATCGATCTGGAAAGTCTAGAACAACGTATCAAGCTGTGAACAGTGAAGACATTTGGTGAATAGGGTTGGAAAGAGATTTCTTTCATTGTTACTTTAATATGTTTTTTGCATAGTTTGACTTTTTACAATAAAAATGTACTTTCTTTTATAACAAAATGACCAATACAATTTTTCTTTTTAAATAATGGTACTTGGAATATTATGTGTCTATAAAAATAATAATTTCAAAGGATATTGAACAACACAGGAAACTGCTCATGGTATATTGTTAGGTAAAAGAAAAAGCTGGATATAGGGGCGCCAGGGTGGCTCAGTCATTGAGCATCTGCCTCAGCTCAGGTCATGATCCCAGGGTCCTGGGATCGAGCCCCACATCAGGCTCCCTGCTCAGCGGGAAGCCTGCTTCTCCCTCTCCCACTCCCCCTGCTTGTGTTCCCTCTCTCGCTCTCTCTCTCTCTGTCAAAATAAATAAATAAAATCTTTAAAAAAAAAAAGCTGGATATAAAGCTATATATGCCATATGAAGTCAAATTTGTAAATACACATATTCGTGCATGAAAAAAAAATAACTGGAAGAAAATGCAACAGTACGTTTAAGGTGGTTAATTCTAGGGTTCTTTGTTTTGTTTTATTATTTATATTTTTTGTGTCTGCTTTTCCAAATTTTTTCATTCAACGTGTTTTATTTTAAAAACAAAAGAAAGAACTTTCTTAAATAGAGGGGAAGAAGGACCATGAATGCACATCCCTAGCATCTAACAGGCTGTCAGAGACTCCAGCCCTGGGGCAACTGGAGGCTTGTTCATACAAAAACAGTTTGCAAGGCTTATATTCAGGTATCATTCTCACCACACTGTGACAGATGAGGAAACCAGACCCAGACTGCTGGAATTTACTCAGCCACTGTTCATGATGTAGTCATCTTGGTGAACCTTCTAAGTCGGGGCTTGGCAACATGTATTTGGCACACAAAAGTACTGGTCAGGCAGGTCTAGACATGCATTTGTGGGTGATCCTCAGCACACCTGGAACCTTCCCATCACCTGAGTCAGAAGGCTTTGAGGGCAGAGCCATCCTCTCAGGCATCCAGAGGTTACCAAGCAAGTTGGAGGGCTTCCCCCGTCCCTGTGAGCTGACTGGCCACAGTAGAGCCTGGGGTCTCCCACACTCTGTCCCTAGGCCTGGGCTCACACCTTGAGACCTACGTTCTCAAGCCCAAATGAAACCTCAGACAGGTGGAGTATTTGCTTCTCCACTGTAGATTCTTGGATAGTCATTCTTTAATAAACATTATTAAAATAAAAACCACACACACAAACATTCCTCAGGGCCAGCCAAATTTAAGAGGTTAGCTTCTCTGACCTTCACTCACCCTGGGAAAAGGATGATTTCACCTGCCCCCTTTCTCCTGTTTCAAGTTCAGAGGAGACCCTGCCCTCCACCCTTGTCAAGACTAGAGCTGGAGAGAGGGGCTTTAAGCATTGCTAGAAATGAAAGGAGATGGGGAAAAGAGGTGTTTCCAGAACTTCTGTCTTGGGAAGAAGCATCTTGGCTGACGTACGTTAGTGAGCAAGTGGGGAGGAGTGTTGGTTATGGAGACCTTGCTAGGGAGGACTGATAGGGTTCCCTGTGGGGTTTGGCTTGGCCAAGTGGGTGTGATGTGAGTCTAGGGTGGGCACTGGGTCTCTTGAGCCCCAAGAGCTGCCTGCAGGATCCCCCACTCTGTCCTTCCCAGGCAGTGCTCAGCCTCTCCCAACAATGCCTGCCACAGGCATGTGTACTGAGGCTCCAACCTTTCCTGTGAGGCTCAAAGAGAAGCTCTGGGGAGCAGGCCAGATCTAGAGGGTGAATTCTCACACACACCCCTGCATGACTACTTGGTAAATGCAGGGGTTTGAAGATGTCAGTTTTGCTGATGGCATTTTGGTCAGCCAGACCATTTTTCCCTGCAGGCTAGTGGCTGGGGGTATACTGCTTCCTTCCTTAATTGCCGAAGTAGGTGGGAGGGGTGGGGGTTAACCTATGGTGCTGTGTCCACTATATTCATAGGCCAACCCAGCCCTTGTCCCCTGTCCCTGGGTCTCACCAGAAGCCAGGATCTGTGGCCTCTGGTTGGCCTCATGCCCCTCTAGGTGGTCAAAGTCAAAGTCCCTTTCCTTCATCTTCATCTTCCCTTCTTAGCCATGCATGGCTGAGATGGATGTCCCCTGAGCACTGGAGTTTGGGGTCTAGGGTCTCATCCACGGAGCTTGTGCTTGCTGACACACACCACACTAACACTAGTTTACCTTAGTGACAGCCTTCCAGCTGATGCCTGAAGTAGCCATCTGTGCCATGGAACAGTTACTGTGTGAATTACTGACCAATGTGATGGAGTTCTGTTACTCCAACATCCCACCATATAAAGGGCATCAAACCTGCCTAATATAGGCCCATCTAAAAGGAGGCTGAGCCCAGGGAAGGCTCAGTTCTCTCCCCTGTCAGCAAGTATATTTCTCTTGGTACCACTTTTATTATTTCGTCTGTACTCAGGGGAGTCGCAAAATTCCCAGGCTTATTTAGCTATTGGTTTAAAACAGTTTGTGTCCATAAAGGGATCCCAGGTCTTGAATCATTTACAAAACATTTGGTGCCCTGGAATTTCCCTAGACTTCTGACTCAAATTCACTGGAAGTGGTCAATACAACAGAGAGAGAGAGAGAGAGAGAGCTTGGACCCCCATGAGTAAACTGGAACATGCTCTCATTTCTATCCATGTTCTAATTGGAGTGGAAAGGACAGACCCCAGAAGCCAAGGCCCCCTCCCCTCAAGACCCCCAGGGAACACCTGCTGTCCCCCCTACCTCCCCCGCCCCGGCTCAGGTACCTGAATGAGTATTGCCAGAAACTTCTTCTCAGCCTCGTTCCGGCCATAGCACTGGAAGCTATGGGTGTAGAGTGTGTACACATAGCCATACAAGGACACTTTCATGATGTTGCTGGTGTTCAGCCCTACCCTCTCTCCAGCCGCAAAGGATATTTGGGTGGAGGCACCACCTAAATCCAGGGCACCTGTGGTCTCCACTCCATTTGGATGCACCCACATATGCCACAGGTTCTTCTGCACAGTGGGAAAAGGAAGCAAGAGAAAAGTCGAGAGGCACCATCTCTGTTTGCCCAGGGCTCTCCACCCAAGACCCATCTCTTATTGCTAAGAAGTATGACATGGGGAACATTCAGGGGCCAAATCTCTCCTTTATTTCAAGGGTGGTGAACTCAAATGCTTTCAGAGGCTGGGCAGGCAACATAAGTGAGTGAAGCAGATTAGGTGTCGACAGTAGGGAATGGTGGGGACTGTGGCAAACTGGGGACTACATGAGCTACACTCTATTCCAGTTAGTTGTTGTCATGTGGAATGTGAGTTCATTGTGACCAGTGCTTCCAATTTTGGGGGGGGTGTGGGGGTCCGGACAAGCTATAAATGTGGATTTTTACGTGAAATTTCCAAAATATTAATTGTTGGCAATTAATTAAAATTTAAGAATATATTTGAGGGGGAACAACACAGGTGTTGGGCTGGATATGGTTTATGCCCTCTGTAACATGGTGATTATCTCTTGGAGTTGGCTTTCCTTTGAACAAGGGGCAGGGCATGTGGGGACTGAAATGTAAGGGACCCGGGGACACAGGATGGGTTGGGAAGCCTGAGGGCTCCAGAAATTTCAGGGGGCTGTGGAGCTTTGGGAAGGGTCATTCTCCAGCTACCCTTCAAAAGACCCATAGGCTTTAGACTTAGGTCCCCCCCCACCTCCAATTTCTTATTCGTTAGTTAAGTGATAATATTCCCTCTCCTCTGTGCATTTGGTCCTGCTTATGATACAATGTTTTTGCCCCAGCTATATGTGTCTTTTCTTGGCTATTGTTTCATAGGTGTTTCCTTAATGCATTATATGATAAGGATGACACAGAACAGATGCCCCTGTCAACATGCACCTCTGCTTTAAGTGGCCACCCACAGGGGATGGGATAAATAGCAAGATTAAAAACCATGCACTTGTTTTCACACACCTCCAGGAAATTTCCCATTAAATAGTTGGCTGTAATCCATCCATATATCCCTTCCTCTTGCCCAGAAATGATTTGAGCACCCCTAAAATCAAAGGGCTGGGACTTGAAGTAGTTTTGGATGCTTGCAAGGACTTCATTAGCTGCTGTTTCATTTTGTAACCTATGCAAGGCACAGAACACAAAAGGCTGAGTGCCTGGACAAGAGAGTCTTAAAATAATCTCACTCAGGTGAAAAGGTAAACCTCCCACCCCTCTGCTGACAGGGACGATTTTCCAGATGTGTGCAAAAATGGCAACCCTTTTTGCAAGTTGAAGCCTCCTAGGCAACCATGAAGGCAGATGCACTTGTTACCTGTCAAACTGCCAATCAAAAAAATAGCTTCAAGTAAAAATACCCTTCATCCTCTCCTCCCTTACCTGTTCCCATCCCATTCTCTAGCAACCAGTTAACCAAAAGAGCTTCCTGCTTAATCACCATTGCTCTGTCTCAGATCAGCACAGGAAAAGGGATTGGTGAAGCCGTAGGGGTGGCATAAGTAATCTTCTGGGGGCACCACATAAAGGAGCCCTCATCAGGCCAGAAGGAAGGGGGATCTGAGGAGGAGGGGGGAAAGGAAGAAGGTTGAGTTTTCAACAGTCCCTGCTTTGCTTTTGGGAAGGGCTTTATCATGAGGGGATATGATGGCTATCATGGCCATCATTAGATTGAAATCCATCAGTGTGCTGACCCACAGAAGAGTGGCAACACAACATTCCTATATCACCCAATGATATAGCATTGTAATATTCATTTGCTGCCATTTTACCTTATGGCAAAAGATTCGCTTGGGAGATTATTTTCCCTTTCATCAGTGGGTTAAGAAAGCCAGGGGCACCAGCTCATTCTTGGCTCAAGAAGAAAGAGCCATGTTACCAGCTGAAGGTCATGCTAATTCAGCAGCAAATTATCACTGCTCAGAAAATAATTCAAGAGTTTTTCTAGTTTTATCAGTTCCCATCCCAGAGGATTCATTATTGCTTCTTTTTATATTTGACTTTTCTAGCAATTAAAATGTCAGCTAGTTCCTTAGAAGGAATGGATCACCGTCAGAAAGTTTTACAAGTTGGAGTTAATATTTAATTTATTCAAATGGGACATTCACTGTGTTCCCAAGTGGTGCACTTCCTATTCCATGGTTTTTGTCATGGGCTATAAATCACAGAGTCTATTAATTATTCCTCACCGGGAGGACTGTGAGAAAAAGCAATTGAGAAAAAGTTGGGTGCTTTGTTTCCATAAGAAAGAAAAGGCAGAAGGAAGGAATTTCTATATCATTTCTATTTTAAGGAAACACAATAATTTTGAAACACACTTCAGATTCCAAGAGGGAGCAAAGAAATCCAATTTTCTCCCACGTTTTACTTGGTCAACCAGGACTTAGGAATAGAAACAAGGAGAGAAAACCCACAAGGAAAAGGCCCAATTCAACTGAGGGTGCTTCCTGATTTCTTTTAATGATCATGTTGAAGTGGCTCTGTTTGTTTGTTCCTGTGTATCTTCTTCATGCCCACACATATAATTTTATGTTACTGGCACCACAGACAAAGTGGCTTTGAAGCAGGATAAATGTCATCTTTGGGGGTTAAAACCTTATTTTCAAAGTTTGGAGCAGCCTCTACCCTGAGTAGATTTAAGTTTGATGTTTTAAAAACTATTTTTCTTTTATTCCAAGGTCAAGGAAATAAAATAATGGAAAAAAAAAAAAAACAGAGAAAGGGCTCTCAAAGACAGTGCAACTGGGCTCAAAGTCATGGCTACAAATTTAGAAGGATCCTTAATTGAGTGAAATGAGCTGTTTGTTTCCTAATAGCTCCAAAGACTTTTCCCTGGGGTGAAGTGCAGAAATTCCACTATTTTCCAGCAGATTCCTGTGGCATTGTGTACATGGGTAGAAGCCACACAAATATGGGCTGCGCTCAGTGGACCTGGTTGTGCACAGGTATCAAAAGACCAGGCATCAAAAACAATTTTTACTTTTCTAAAGAATTAGAGGTACACCTCATGAGATTTCATGTTACCTTCCTTTCTTCCAGAGTTCTCAGGAAAATCACCAATGGGGAGGGAATCCATTTTAGAACGATTTCTTTCTGGGTATTAAAATAAAGCCTGAAATTTTCCCAGCTTTTGGAGCCTCAATTTATGCAGAATATGGGCTTCTTTCTTTCAGATTTGTTCCCAGAAATAGAGTTACATTCTTGGCAGGGTTCAACACATTCTTGGCTATTTTGATCATATGGGCTCCTTGGGGCCATTCCAGCCCTTACCTCAGCAAGCGCATCCCAGCTGTGGCCCCCAGGTAAATGTGGGTGGATCCATGGAGGTGGGCTGGAATCTGTCCCTTGACTTTTTCCATGCAATCCTCAAAGGCTTTGGGGACATCTTGGGGGTTTTTCCCATAGCTGGAGATCCCAGAGCCTGAAGAGCAAGCAGTCAGCATTTCTTAGCATTCCCAGGAACCAACAAGAACAGTACAACTTCTGAATAAAAAACAAATCAGCTTTGAAAATTAATGGGTTTGAGTAGGGGGTTGAAAACAGGTGGCTGTGGTCACACTGATGAGTCAACTCCCAAAATATAGTAGTATAATGAACCCCAATGCACCCATCTCTCAGCTTCCACAATGATCAACTCTTATTTCATCTGCTCTCTCTCCCCACAGGGCAAACTGCAGATATGGTATCATTTCATTCTCTAAATACTTCAGTATGTTTCACTAAAAGACAAAAATTCTTTTTTGTTGTTGTTCAGAAATAATCAATCTTATTGGCCTTTTGCTTCTCTAGTCTCCTTTCATACTACTTGCCTTTGGTAAGTTCACTTGTTTTTTGTTTTGTTTTTTAAAGATTTTATTTTTACGGAATCTCTACATGGGTAGAAGCCACACAAATATGGGCTTGAAGCCACACAAACACAAACAAACAGAGCCACTTCAACATGATCACACAGTGTGGGGCTTGAACCTACAAGCCTCAGATCAAGAGTCACACACTCCTCCAACTGAGTCAGCCAGGTGCTCCGGGAAGTTCATTGCTTGACAGAACTTCCACCAAATAGGTTTAGACACATAGTGAAAGGAGGAACAGGAAAAATGAAACAAAAATTCAAATCTATGTCCCATGTGTTCAAACAGAGAGGGAAAAAAAGAATCTTGCCATGGTTTATCTTCAGGAAACATTTTGGTATAACTATATATAATTTAACAAGACATCATCCTAAACATTAAATATAAAATAATACCGAAAAGTCCGCATTTATAAATTTCAAGAAGTAACATACCTAGAGAGACAAATAACGCAAACAAACCCATGACAGAGTTCCTCAGTTTGGTCAGAAATCTCCGTGAGCTGAAATGTACCATCACAGACAGAACTAAAAGTAGAGTTAGGCAAGAATTCTTTTAAATAAGCATAACCACTGCCCTATTATTATGTCCATAAAAATTAAAAATAATCCCTTAATAGAACCAAATTCTAGCCAAGGTGCTCATTTCCTCCATATTCATATATTTTCCTCCCCCCCATCCTTCCCCCTACCTCCTCTTTCTCTCTAGCCAGTTTGTTTGAATTAGAGTCCAAATAAATTCCATCCATTGCAGTTGGCTGGTATGTCTCTTAAGTCTCTTTTACCCATAAGTTCTGTCCTCCCTTTCTATTTTTCCCTTGAGATTAAAAAAAATTTCTTTGCAATTTCATTTGTCTTACAGAGTTTCCTACAGCCTAAAATTTGCTGACTGCATCCCTATGATTCACGTAACATGCTGTTGAGTCCTGGCTTTTCCCATAAATTGGTAACTGAATGCAGAAGCTCAGTCAGATTCAGGTTTGGACTTTTTCAGAAGAAATAATTTATAGGGCTTAATGTGAACTTCCAGGGCAAATCACGCATATCTGGCTATTTCTCTTTGTGCTTGAGCAGGCATCAGAGATCATTGCTTAGACCCATTAGCCCAGTAGGATTTATGAAATGGTGATGTTTCATTTCCATCTTTCTCGCTTCACTTATAACCTAAATGCTTTTATAAGAGGAAAACTTCTCTCTCATTAACCATTTGGTTATCCTACAATACAGTTTGTACAGGGAAAGCAGGGTAAGTGCTGGAATTTTTCCCCTTCATCAGCTTAAGAAATAGAGATTGCATGTCTTGTATCCTCCTAATTTATCCAGTGAGGGATTTTATTTGTTTGTTGTGTATCTTAAGAACATATGAATTTGAAGATATATTTGATGTGTTTTGATTCATTGCAGTTATTATTCTTATTGATGATCCCGGGGTTGGCCAGTGGAGCTCTCTTCAACAGGACCCCTGAGTCCTTTAGATGTGATCTCAGAACTTTTGAGAGCTTCTTTGCTCTCTGATATTAGATGTGTGATCTTATGCACTTCTTGCCCCCAGCTCTGGAATCAGCCACTTCTCCAAGGAGTCCTGGCTTCTATTTTTTGAGTATGATATTTAGTGTCTGAAATTTGGAAGCCTTTGCAAGGCTTTTCAGAGGACAGACTTAGGAAAACTTTGTTTCAAGAGAAAATGCATCATGAATTCTTATTGGTACTTCTACTTCAAAACTACAGGTTTTTACTTAAGTTGATCTTGACCTTCTTTTTCCTATGCTAAAAATCCTGCTTCCCAGCTACTCCAACTAAATAGCTCGCTTGCTTTATTTCACAATCCACCCACAAAGGTCTTAGGATGGCAATACCAGCACTATCACCAATTGTATGGTTATTGAAAACAGTTTAAGATTTTTTTTTAAAAGTTCTTTTTGTCCTAGGGTATATCCCATTAGGCATTATGGACCCTATGTACAGCATCCATGAATAAAATTTTCTTGAAACACATATATGTACATGCTCATTTGTCTGCACATTGTCTGGGCTGCTTTTGTGCTAAAGTGACAGAGCTGAATGGTTACAGCAGAGACCATATGGCCAACAAGTAACAAATATTTATCATTTAGCTCTTTACAGAAAAAATTTGCTGTTCCCGGAGTTAGATGATTTATGGGGATCTCCAGCTTAATCTGTCCAAAACCAAATTCCTCAATCCCTGCCACGCTCCCAACTGACCCACCCCCAGGGCTCCCTTCTCAAGAAGTGTTACCATCACACACACAGTTGCTCAGGTCAGAACTGGTGCTCAGGCACCACCAACTTAGACATCTCACATTGAATCTTTCATAAAATCTTATTGGCTCTACTTTCAAAATACCTCTCAAATCTGAGCACTCTTTCTCCCCTTCCCCCAGAACCATTCTAGATCAGAGTTTTTCAATCTTGGTACCACTGACATTTAGGGCCAGATAATTCTTTGTTGTGGGGCCATCCTGTGCACTGTACAATGTTTAGCAGCATCCTTGGTCTCTTATCACTAGATGCCAGCAGAACCACCAACCCCAATGGTGACGATCAAAAATGTCCCCAGACATTGTTAAATGTTCCCGGGGGAGCCAAGTTGCCCCACACTGACAAGCACAGTCTCAGCCAGATCACCACCACATCATAACTTTATGACATCATTACATGCACTGTTCTAATAGCCCTGGTTTCCCTGCTTCTGATCTCAGCCTCTGACTACATGTTCTACATCCAGAGTGCTCTGTTAAAAGTGTAAGTCATATCCATGTTAGTTCCTGGTCAGAATCTCCTAATGGCTTCCCAGTATACTCTGAAGAAAATGCATCTGAGTTCAAGTCAAACCTCTCACTGCTCTCAAGGCCCTCTGAGCTGGCCCTGACCACGGCTCTGGTCTCACTACTCACCTTTCTTCCTCTTACTCATTCTGCTCCAGCCACACTGGTCCCTTTGCTTTTCCTAGAAAATGCTAAGAAGCTTCCACCCCCGGCCTCTCTGCTTGCCAGGCCTTCTGCTCAGCACGTTCTTCCCTCAAAAATGTGTGTGGCTCACACTCTCCTTTCACTTTTGCCTCTGCTTAACTATCCCCTCCAAACAGAGCATGATCATTCTCTGTCCACCTACCTCACTTGATTTTTCTTCACAGCACTTCTCCCTGACATGTTATATACCCTTTTATGATCTATCTCCTTGATTCGAATGTAAGTTCCACAATAGCAGAGACTTTGCATATTTCACGTTAGAATCCCCAGTGTCAAGAACAGTAACTGGCAGACAGTTGATACCCAATACGTATTTATTAAATAAATGAATAAATGAATCAATCAATGAGATTTTCAAAACAGTGTGCAACTCTATACTAAGGGGATCATGTAGTCCAATCTGATCAGTTAGAGCTGGTCTCTGGAAAGGGACCTGTTAGGAGCCTTGTTGGAATGTCAAAACTTGGGGTATCTGAGCATGTCACCTGAGACCTATTTGCATAAGGTCCTATAAGCTTCCTAAAGGAAAGACAAGATTGGGCTCACAGGCTCACAGGATCCTGGGATTCACAACTCCAAGAAAGGAGGGTTGAAATCACTATTCCAATCTGGAGAAAGATGGTTGGACAGATGACACAAAACTTACTCGAGGTGGGACAGAAGCAGAAGATATGTACCCAAGAAAAGGATGCTTTCAACACCATAATGGCCTGGTCCCCAACACAACTTTTTAAGGTATTTCAATGGAGGAGATGGTTACCCTTAAGCTCCAGTGGAGTTTAAAGAACTTTAACCACTGCTTTAAAGGGAACACATGAATGTCCTTTGTGGGAGGAGGCAGCCGCAGTCATGAGCACCACACACCATGAAAGAGATGAGGGTGGTGTAGGGGCCCAGTGCCCTCCAGGGAATGGCTTTATAACATGCAGCCCAGAGCTTTGGACACCAGCATGGGGACCAGCAGCTAAGGCAGCACCCAGTGAACTCAGGAAAATAGCAGTAACTGAGGACTGATGATACTCAACAAGGCTCCTCCACCCCCGCCAAGAAAGAAATTTCCGAGAGCCTGGGTATCTGGGAAACCCGGCTGGGCAAGCAAGCATTCATCACCCCCTCAGACTGGCCAAGGCAGGGGAGTCCTGGGAAATTTGCAACTGGGAAACCAGAAACCCAAGTTATCCCTGGAGAAGCCACACGTCTTCAAGGGGACAGCACTCACCAAACTTTAACTCTGTATTTTGAGCTTTAGTTTGTGGTCTTCTGGTCATCTGGAGTATATATATGGATCCCTGAGGCTACTGCAATCAAAGGGAAGACCCATTTATGGATATGGTGTGGGTTCCATGACACTGCCCTTCCCCTAAATCACATCCAGGGTGGCCGAGGGCCCCGTCCCCTAGGAGACTGCCTGTGTCCCTCCATGAAGGTCACATCTCCCCCTATAGTCAGAAGACCATCAGGACTGACTTGGCTGAACTGTTCTCTGGGTCTAAAGACAGATCTGGGACAGACTAACTTCTTGGCAAGAATATCCACCAGGAGCTCTAAAGTGTGCTGCCCCATGAATAATAATAGCTAACACTTAATTGAGTGCTTACTGTATGCCACGCATTTGCCACCTGCTTTACATATATTATATCATTGAATCTTCAAATGATTCCTATGGGATGGGTGCTACTATTATTATGCTTATTTTATAGATGAAGAGGTCAAGACACAGAGAGATTAGAAACTTCCCAGAGCTCACACAGGAGGGAGGAGGTGAAGTCTTAATCATTATCCTACATTATCCTCTCTTTTCTTGAAGTGGCTAGTCTCCTCTTTCTAAATAAGCATCCTGCTTGAAGGTAAGCAAATGACTCAGAAGTTAGGACAACAGAGATGGGATCTCTGGCTGAGCTTCGAGCAAGGTTGCAGCCACCTATGTCTTGTGGATACCAATGCAAGCAGTACTCAATAAACATCTAAGTCCCCTGTTATGTGGAGCCTGGAGAGATGCCAAGCAGATACAGCTTCAAATAAAGACTGTGTCTCAGCTGTCAGCTCCTGCATGGTTTGCTTCTGCGGCAGAGAGCTGCCTTGCTCAGTGTCTTGCTCTTCCCAGAATGGCAACATCCAACAATTGATGGCAACAGGGGTATCCCAGTCTAGCCAATTCAGGCCATGCAGGATAACTCTGATTGGCTGAAGCTTGGTCAGGCTCATGTAGTTGTTTGACTTCTCTTTCTGACCAATCCTCCTTCTTCTTCCTTTCTTCTACAGGTGTGGATCTCTAATAATTATCTTGCATCCTAAACTCTAGCTCAAAATCAGCTTCTTGACAACCTAACCTGGGACACTTATGTACTAGGTGAGCTCCTAGCTGCCCTCCATGGAAGGGCAGATGATCAGAACACTCTGTTATTCAAAGAAGTCTGTTAGTCTCCCTACGGGAAAGGCTAATTCTGCCCCCCTCCCATCTTTTTCAATGTCAGGACCCTCCCAAATGTTATTATATTTGGGAAGCTCATTGAGGTAAATGAAGGAAGCTGCTTGGGGCTAGGGGGATGAGTCCAGAGTCTCTAACCTGTTGTCCTGTGGGCCAAAGGTATACCTGTTAACACATTCAGGATGCACTGGTCAGGAAGCTCCAGGCCAAGTCAAAGATCATGATGCTCTAAAGAGGCTCCTTTTAAAAAGGAGCACACATACACATGCTCACTAACTGGGGTTTGTTATGAGTACTAAAGTCTTAATTGTAAAAGGCAAAATTACAAAACTTTGATTGAAGAATATCTTTATGACCTCAGGCTAAGAAAGATTTCTTGAATACAAAAGAGCAAATCATGACAAGAAGACTGATAACTGTTCCTACATAAAAAATAAGAACTGTTCATCAAAAGACACAATGAAGAGACTTAGAAAGGTGAACCACAAGCTGTAAGGAGATAGGAGAACAACATAATAATACTAACAAAGCACTCATATTTACAATATATATATAAAAAACTCTAATGAATCAATGAGAAAAAGTCAAGCATTCAGTAGAAAAGTGAGCAAAAGACATGAACAGGCACTTCACAAAAACAGAAATGACCATAAGTATATGAAATATACATATAAAATATGTGAATATATTTATAATTTGTAATTTTGTAAATAAATAAAAATATAAATATACTCAACCTTATTCACATCCATCCTTTCCATAACCATGGACATACAAATGTCCAACAGGGAAAAATGAATGAGCTTCTGCTACTCCTGTCAATGTAGATGAATCTTAAACACCCAATGTTAGTGAACAAAGCAAATTACAGAAGAATAAATGTTTGATTCCATTTATATAAATACATGTTTGATTCCATTTTCAAGAACGGGAAAAACTAAATGCATAGGGACAAAACTAGAAAGGAGAACAAGAAAACAGTGAATATAAAATTCAGGCTATGTTGCGGAGATGCTGAGAATGTTCTGTTTCAGTGGTTGGCATCTCACAGGCCAAATCTGGTTCATCATCTTTTTTTTGTACAGCCTGTGAGCTAAGATAGTTTTTACATTTTTAAATAACAAGGAAAAATTAAAACAACATGTTGTGACAGTTGAGAATTATATGAATTTCAAAATTTCAGGGTCCATAAACCAAGTTTTATTGGAATAGAGTGACGTCCATTTGTTTATGTATTGTCCATCCTTGTCCATCTCTTCCTACCACCCTCCCCCACAACATACACAGCCAATTAGAATACAATTCCCCTACTGGAATACAATTTTCCATGACTTGCTCATGTTTCTGCATGTCTTATGAGCAGAGGCCCTGACTGCCTTTGTTCTGGATTGTATTTTCAAGGATGTTTGCATAACAAGCAGGCTTAGAAGACAGAGACAGTGTTCTCCCCCAGACCAAAAGGCAGGCATTATAAGTGTTTCAGATTCCCTAACCTTGGGGTTTGTCTTCTGTAATACAACCCACTGTGTGAGCAGATACTGTCTGGCCCTCTTTACATCATCTTGTGCAAAGTGAGGCTCAGAGAACCAGCTCAAGAAAATGCTGACACTCTGCCTACTGCTATTACTGTGAGCAATAAACCATCCTTGGTTCTGACCCAGGAGACTTGTGTCTTCCACCAGCCTTCATTCATGCAAGCATGGCAGGGTAAAATCTCACACCATGCACTGCCATGTTTCAGACATGAGAAAACTGAAGCCCAGAGAAGGGAAGTGAGTGGCCCGAGATCACTGTATGCATGAGGATCAGCGATAGCACAGGATTGCATATGTTCCTGATGCCCAGTCCAGTATTCATATCCTGCCTCCGGGCAGCTTCTTGGGATCCCTCCAGGCCTCCAAAGGCCCTTAGGACTCTCCCTTGCTTCCCTATGGTCCTCCTGCACACACTCTGGGCCTTACCTTTCACACTACACTTGAAGGTTTGACTGACCACTCCAGTATTATTCTCCTTCTCCGCTGGCCACTGATATATGTAGATGGTGGTTCTGGAAGACCCGGCATCAAGCACGATCCCATACTGAACAAAAGGGGAAAGGGAGAGTCAGAAATGGGCTGGGCTTCTCTGAGGACTACTTTCCAATGGGCCACTGAGAACCCGGAATACTCCCGAGAGCTTAATCCACACTGCATCATTTAGGTAGGGGCTGACCAAGGGAAAAAAAAAATGATTTGCTCCAAACCAACTTTGTCTCCTTGGACTATGGGGGAATGGGATGGGGTGAGGTGGGTCAGCTGGGGCATGGTTCTCAGCTTTGGCCACACATTAGAATCACTTGGGGAGTTTCGCAGTTCCAAGGCCACATCCCAGACCCATTAAATCAGAATCTCTGGGAGTGGACGCAGGCATGGGCAGTTTCTAAAGCTCTCCTGCTGACCCCAGTATGCAGCCAAGGTTGAAAATTAGCACTCCAAGGATCTTGCCTATCCCCGGTTTCTTCCTCATCCAGACCTCTGAGGTGGGGGAAAGAAGCCACCTAGGTCTCAGGAGGGAAATGGATAGTCAGTCCCCTTGTGCCCTCTACTCTCTAAACTTCCAGGCCCATCAGCCTGGAAATAAACATAGGAAGTTCTCACAAGGGAGAAACACATCAATACCTGCATTAGCCTTCAGAAGGAAAGTATTCATAATTAAGGAGAAAAACCCCAAAATACCAACTAATGTTGACATACTGTCCCACTTTGGTAACATGGTACATGAACACACAGACAAGAGGGTGTTACCAGGGCAGTGCCCAGACTAGCTGTGCCCAGGATTGCCGGCTAGGAGTCCTGGACCATCTCCCCAGCTAGAGGCAGCCACCAGGGAGCTTCCCCTGAGGGTCTTGCCCACCCAGGCCCTGGACCAAGCTTGAGCAGGAAAGAGCATGCATTAGCAGCCTCTGGGGATTGGAATGAGTAAAGCTGACCGAGGTCAGTATATGCTTGGACCTGGAGTCAGCCCAGGGCAGCAGAGGCTTCTGGGTCACAGCTCTTCCCCAATTCCACTGCTGTTGGATTAGGCTGCTCATCTCAGTGAGGAAGATGAATTTGGGTTCTGGAGGCAGGGCGACTCAGGTGGATGCTTGCTTTACGACCCTGGGTGAAAGGCCTAAGCTCTCTAGGTTTTCTTATCTTCAGACAATTTAACCTTGAGAAGTAAATAGGAGACCATATGCCTGATACTCAATGGCTGCTCAATAAATACAGGCTATATAGGAAGATCAATAAAGCAAAATAAACAAAATTACAAAGCAAGGAAAAGAGTACAGAAAAGTAAATAACACCCCTCAAATCCCACTATTGTTTTAACACCTCGCTATATATATCTTCTAATGGACTTCTCTGTATACAGCTACATATATGAATATGTGGTTAGACATATGTTTTCAATTCAGTACAGGATTACACTGTACATAGTCTTTTCCAATGCTCTTTTCTTATTCAATAAGCGTATCATGCACCTCTCTCCCTGCCAGTAAAAATATGGTATCATCATTTTCAATACATTCCCCACATCTACTGTGAGATGTACCATAATTTATTTAGCCAATTCCCTGATTCTAGACATTTGGGAGGGTTCCAACTTTTCACTATTAACAAGTGATTGTTTCGTTTGAAATGGGACCAAATAAAAACATGTTGCTCCAGCTCCTCAATCACAGCTTCCCCATTATATCGAGACAGAACATCCTGTGTCCATTGGTATTTGAACTTGGACAGCCTCTCAGTCCCAGCCTTCAATCTGATGAATGCTGACGGGGATCCTGACATGACACCCCCTGCAAACAAGGGAGGCATTGTTCACAGCCTGCTCTGGGCAGAGGCTCACTAAGGAAATTAGCGCACAGGTGGAGCTGAAGGAAACGAGGCACTCAAGAGATCTGAGCCTCCCTAACAGTCTGCTTTCTCCCCTCCCACCTGCTGCTGACCCCTCAGGACCCCTCCCCCAGCCCCTCCACGCCTGGTGCTGACTAGAGGAGGGAGCGCACGTACACGAGAGCAACCACTCTATGGGGTCCCCACCCTTCCCACATCTTCTGGATCCCAGCTCTTCACAAACAGTGCATTTTCCCTTTGAAGGAAACTTGGGGCTGCTGGGCCAAGATCACAAAGGAGGAAGAAGAGCCGTTCTCATTCTCATCCTCATCCCTGCTGGGATCCCCTTTTCATCAGGGTGGGAGCAGGCAGAGACGTTCCACAGTGAGCCCGGAGAAGTGGCTGCCCCTCAGGCACCTGCTGATGTGCTGACAGGGACCAGCCTTGAGCCCAATGCTACTTCTGAGTAACCACCGTCATTCCCTGACATTTTCAAAAATGGAAAAATTGGTCTTTAGCCAATTTTCAGAGCTCATTTGCCTAGATCAGTGGCACTCAATGTGGTTTGATGGAGGACATGGGGTGGGGACTGAATTTCATTCAGTTCAGCTAGGTGGAAAGCAATAAGTAACCCTTCTGTCTAATGCAGTGTCAGGGGAAAAAACATGGCTAGAATGTGGAACTGAACCAAAGGGAAACAGCCTCCCATATGAACCGCATGATCCAAAACTTAAGGACTGTGTGAGCTTCTAACAAAGCAAAAGCAAAGCTCATAAGATCAGCTTTCTTAGATTTATTTATTAGTATCATCACCACCATCATCATCATCATCACTATTAGCATAATAATAGGAATAGTAGTAATAAACATTTGCTGAGTACTCATAATATGCCAGGCACGACACAAAGTGCTTTACTGTTGCATTCAGAAGGCAGGTGTTGTCATCATTCCCACCTGACAGATGGGGAAACTGAGGCTCACAGAGGTAAATAATTGCCCACAGTCCCAGACTTGGGCTCAAGCCTGGATCTAACTGACCATCAACCCTATACACAGAGCCCCCATGCTTCCACTGAGTTCCAAGGAAACCAGGTCTCCCAGGGTTGAATGCTTCATAATAAGGTGTGCTATTGCAGACTTTCTTTGTTCAGACAAAAAGTCCCTCAAAAGCAAACTCGTAGTTAAGTAGTGTGCAGATCTGGCTGGAGAGGAGGTGGACCAAAGTGATGAAGGAGTTGTGTCTTTCTGGAAAGGAGGAAACCAATTATCTAATTCTCACTCTCCGAGGGGTAAACCAGGAAGGGCCACAAGGCACCAGAGCTCCAGGCCGATGACTGAGAACCAATGAGGGTTAAAAATGAATGGTTTTAGCACAGCCTGGTCCTGTGGTTGTGCTTTGGAGAGTTAATGGCCAAGCTAGGGAGTGTGACTCAACATGGGGATCTAATGTGACCCGAGAGGGACTATGTAGACCTCTCTTCAACAGTGACGTCATGTGTCCGTAAGGGGCAATGGCAATGTGATACTGATCATATCGGACTGGGAAGCCACAGGGCTTCTAGACAGTTGTGAGTGGGGGTGGGGAGGGCAAGGTCTCAAAAGGAAGATACTAGACTTAATGATAATAAAGCAAGTGGGGGCCTGAGTGAAAAAGAAGAGTGATGCCATCATGTTTACTCTTCAGGCTGGTAGAGCAGGTCAGACCAGTAACAATGAAAATGGAACTGGGGACATTTTGACCCTTGACTAAGTTTTAATAGTTCTGCTATTCAACTCAGATAAACCAAGGTTAGGTAAGCCAAGGCTGGATTTAAGAGCCAGCTATCCTGATTGGGGTCTTAAGGAACATTCCAGGTCCCCCCAGATAGGCCATTGTGGAGCTGGCCCCTCATAACCAAATATCAGCTGCACACAAAGGCAAAACAAACTTCAACGTATGAAAACAGAACAATTTAAAAGCCCTTGAATGATCAGCTTCACTTCCACAACTGCCTTTCCCATCCTTAGCACACACTGCAAAACAAAAGAAAGGGGCTTGTCCTCACTCTGAAAAGAGCTGCAGGTGGAATGTTCTTTCAAGTGGCCATTCTGCTCTTGGTTCCACTGGCTCAGAACATCTGTCTTTTCTCACATTTAATCCACCCAATTAAGCAGAACGGGTCTCCTGAGCCAGTATTCCAACATTCTACAACTTCCTGTCCCCTACAACTGTGACGGGGGCCTGACGACAAGATTTGAGGAGATTAAAAATCCCCTTTGAACTGTGTGCTAATGGGTGAGGGCGTGTCTTCTTTTTTTTTTAAAGATTTTATTTATTTATTTATTTGAGAGAGAGAGAATGAGAGATAGAGAGCACGAGAGGGAAGAGGGTCAGAGGGAGAAGCAGACTCCCCGCCGAGCAGGGAGCCCGATGCGGGACTTGATCCTGGGACTCCAGGATCATGACCTGAGCCGAAGGCAGTCGCTCAACCAACTGAGCCACCCAGGCGCCAGAGGGCGTGTCTTCTTTCCAGTCCTTCTAAACCCTTGTTTAAGGCCAACATTCTCTGTTCTCCTTTGTTTCTTCTGCACCACGTCTGCTATTTCCAGTCTGTGTAACTCTGAGAAGCTATCTGCCCTTTCTGTTCCTCTACTTTTTCATCTGCAAAATGAGGATAACAGTAACCATATCTACGTGGAATAGTTGCTGAGGGTTCCCTGCCCACATCCCTCAGGCCTTACCATGGTGATGCCCAGCCACGCACTTTCCACCTGCCTAAAGGCTTTCTGCAGTGGCCTGAGCCCACCTGAGCATACAGTGTGCCAGAAACGTTAGGGAGTGAATGTCTTCCAAGGAGCAGCCGCTCAACCAATGACTAGCAGAAGTTGGTGTCTAAGTATGTGCTTGAGTGGGATACCTGTGAGACAGCTGTTCGAGATGCCCTTTGGTAGAGGACAACCCTGGGATGGGTTCTATACTGGCTCCCAGAGCTCCTCTGCAGGACCCTGGCTTCTGGAGTCCCAGGCATCACAGCTTGTTCTAGAAGGGGAAGCATGGCTCTGGGTTAGCACATTCCTTTGTGCCGTGGAGAGAGATAACCCTGGAATACAACTAGAGCTGGTTCCTCTGAAATATGGGGTGTAGGAGTGGTTCCTGGGATCTAAGAGGGCTATTAGCTTTGCCCCCATTTGGGGGATACTTCCATTTCCCAGTTCAGCAAAACTTCCTGCATCTGCACCCATCCTCCCCACCTTTCGTCCTGTGCAAAGGAGGGTAAGTTCTCCTATCAGAGGCAGTACCTTCTCCTGGGGCCCCCTTTCTGAATGTAGGATCAGGAAGAAGAGGGAGGTGAGTGAAGAAAACCCTGGCCTTGGGAACAGGAGGGACAAGGTTTCAGTTCTAGTCTGCCATTCGCTGGCCAAACCTATGATTTCTCACTTGCAAGATGGTGGTGAGAATGCTTGCTTTGTCTCCCTGCTATAGCTGCCACAAGAGAAAAGAGAAAATTCAGGGAAAAGTGTTCACTAAACTGAAGAGCAGTTTACAAAGTTTAAGGAGATGGTATTACTACCAGTTGCAATCCTAATTTTCTATAGTCTACAGAAGAAGGCAGTGCCTAGAGATTGGAAAAATGGCTCCTCTAGGCCTCGGCTAATGTCTTTGGACAACCAGATAATTTGTTTTCCATCATCACTGGACAGTTGTAATAAGGTTTCTTTTTTTTTCTTTTTTCTTCATGTTTTTCATGGGGGAGTGTTGAGATTCTTAAGTAAAATGTCCTATAAAAGAGCCAAATGCCATTATCTAAAGGAGATTTTACTTTAATCTTTCAGAAGAGCAGCCTCAGAATGGTAGGTCAAACTCACCCACAAAGTTGAGGCAATATTCGTTTCTTTTTTATCTTTTAAAAACTTTAAAAACTTCTATTTCAAATATAGCCTTTGAACAGTCACTAAGAGCAGGAGGATGTAGAAAGGACTCATGAGGTCAAGGGTAAAGGCTAAATGAGATTCAGATAACAGTTGAATTTCTTGGCTCCTATGGCCCACTAGCTAAGAAGTGTTTTTACATTTTTAAAGAATCATAAGAAGACAAAAAAAAAAGATATGTGACCGAGACTATAAATGACCTTCAAAGCCTAAAATATGTACTATTTAGTTCTTTACAGAAAAACTTTGCCAAACTCTACCCAAATTACTGAAGGATTCCTTTCCCTTTCATTTGACAAGTCCCTCATGGGATCACCTCCCCTCAGCCTTACAGCCAAGGCTGGTGGGATACATATTGTTCTCAGACTGTCAGACAACATCTGAGAGGCCATATGGGGACAGACTTATCAAGGGCTAAGAGTAGCTTCTGAAAGTGAGCAAAAGATCCTGAGTAATTTTTCAAGGGGAAGAGTTAGAGAGATCATGGCACACTTCTAGACTCAAGAGAGGTAGCACAAATACAGCTCAAGGAGACCTTTTCAAGTCCTTGATGTTTTGTTTACCAGGTTAGGCCAGAAGAGGAGGCTGGGTCTCCTGGTCTCCACTCATGATCAGGGTTGTGTGGTCTTGGGGGAATGCACAAGCTGGTAGATCTTTGGTAGCCATCTGCAATTCTTGGCTACAAAGTCTAGCTTTGGTTCCAAGAGTCAGGAGTGAAAGCAAGGCCACACAGTCCTTAGAGAAGGTGTTACCATTAACATTCTCTAGTGTCAAACATCACAAAACCAGTATGTCCAGAGCTCCTCCCTTGGGTCCTACACCAAAGACCCTTAGGTTCTCCCTTGGATCTTCCCCCACTGGAGGTGGGGAAAAGGGTTTTCTTCTAACTCATTGCATTAGAGTAATTGATGTCATAGCCCATCCCTTCAGGGCCAATCCCTTTATACTTACCTTCAGTCCTGGAAGGAGGACCTCTTTGTGGTGAAACTGGATGAGTGTGATGGCCACAAGCACCACAACACTCAAAACCAAGACCACCAAGGCGATGATGGCTGGGGTTCGGGAGAGGGCCTTGAGGCCTAAAATGGGAAGACCCAGAAGACACATGAGGGGAAAGTAGGAACAAGGCACTGGCTTTCTTTGTAGAATCCACAGACTGGATGCATAACTGTGTGCATATGTCACTTCCTCTGGCTTTGGTGAGACCCACACTTTTAAGGTGGAGCAGTGATTGGGCTCCAGTACCCATTTATCTTTCCTACAAAGAGTGGACTGAGACAACATTTGCAGAGAGGGTGTGCATAGTTTAGTTTCCTGGTATCTCCCCAGATGTGTTATGCATATTACTGGTTGTCCCCAAGATGATTTACAGTAACATTTATTTCAATGTAGATTAAAAAAATATGGGTTTTCTATTAAAGCAGGCGATACAATATTTCATTTAAAAATAATATCAGATAAAAGAAATTAATTCTATACTTCAGATATAATCAATGATTATAAAGTTCAGTACACAGTGGCATAATGTCATGCAAATAGTAACATGTACGAGTTTCTAAAATATTTGGGTTGCCAGTAAGAAGTCAACCTCAGGCAATTTTCCTGTGTCTACATTGAAGGCATATAGGGTCTCCTACATCTTCACAAAGCACAGCTAGACCTCAAGCCACATGTTCCTCCCAAAGGGGTCATATCATCTCTGGCCTTTGTATTTTAATCATAACATGTAAACTATACCCATTTAAAAGCAAAATAATAATAATAACGAAGCCTATGAATAATCTTCAACTAAATACACAGCCTCTGAATAAAGATAATTATATCTGTATTGTATAAAAGTATATAATTACCATAATGGACTATGTCTATGTATTAAAGTTAAACTAATATTGCTTAACTAGATGATTTTGAACAAATATTTACTTGGGTCTTACCAAACCAGTGTGGGCTAATGGAAATTTTATAAAGTAGCAAATACATTTTTTTTAAAGAGAAACAAACAAATACTGTTCTATACTGAAATGACTTCATTCATGTGAAGTTCTAAAACAGGCAGGTGACAGAAATCAGAACGGTGACTGCCCAGGGGGTTGGGAGCAGGGACTCATGGGGAAGGAACACAGGGGCACTTTCTGGGGTCACAGAAATGCTTTATATCTTCCTAGAATTATGGGGTGTATGGGTGTGTGCATTTGTCAAAATTCATCAAACCTTTCAAAGTCCTTTGAGGAAAACCTGAAAATCCAAGTAAACTAGCTCCTTAGGTACAATTTCCTTTTACAAAAAAAGATTTGTAGAAATTGCCCCTACCATCCTAAAATTATATCTTCTTAGAAGACAAGAATGCCCAGTTTTGGGGCAGGACTAAAGATCATCTGTCCAGGGTCAGGAGGGGGGTGATATGTAAGCACTCTCCTGATCAGAGTTGTGTGGCCGCCCGCCCCCACCCATCCTCTGCGCTTCAGCACTTTTCAGGTAAATAGCTATGATTACCTTCAGCAAACCCTGGCCCCAGCAGAAAAGCCTCTCGCAAAGCAAAAGGGACTAGACCAGGTCTCATTCATTTAGGGAATGCAGCCCAGAGCTGTGCTGTCATTAGGAGTGAACAAACACTGTAATTACAAGGTGTCTACCTGAAAGTGGAGAGGCCAGACCATTCTGGGCTTCCACATGAGCAACTGCAAAACGTGCTCCAGAGGCAGGCAGGGCAAGCTTGGCAGTGTGTGTGTGTGTGTGTGTGTGTGTGTGAATTCTACGCATGTGCCTCTGCTAGCAAGGGTAAGAACGCTGACCTAGGGTGGGGGTGGGGAGTGGGGGACACTGTAGGTCCTGTGCCAGCAACAACACTGGGATGCAAGTAGAGGACAGATTTAAGTACTTTATAATTCATTACAAAATCCACAATATTCTTGAGCAAACCTCACACACAGGGAAACCACAAACGGCCAAATTAATGGATTATGCAAACCGGAAAAACCATTTAAGCGAAACATGCATGTTAGTCCTTGTTTTGTGTAGCTTTGATCAAAAGCATTACTTCTACCTGAGGAATGTCGGTGGTGAAAGCCTGGTAAGCAACTGAGTCTCAAACCACAGACGTTAAAACTATTCGCAGGGGCCACGCATGAACTGTGGGCTGAAGCCGGGACTGTGACTTGAGAATATCACACTGGCTGCAGGCTGCGGGATACTAACCTGCTTGCTCACAAGGTTGGCGGGTCAGCACTGTGAACATCTTTCCTCCCAAACTGTAGGCAAGAGAACACATAATGACAGTGTATCGCTGGCCCCTGACTTCAGTTCCAGAAACTTGCGGTATTAAGCCTAATTTGGGGGCACAACTAAAGAACATCTGTCCGGGGTGCGAGGGGGGTGATACGTAAGCAATCCACGCGGCTGCCTCCTGGTCCTCAGTTTTCAGGTAAAAAGCTAATGACTACCGTAAGCAAACTCTTGCCCCAGCAGAAAAGCCTATCACCAAGCAAAACCCGCTTTCAAACCCATTTCACTTCTTCCAAATCGAAATCTTTTGGGCGACAGATAAACAGAGCCCTTTGGATATAAACCCAAAGCTGGGCTTAAATTCTGGTGTCAACTCCCTAGATGTAAGGAAAAGAAGAACAGGTTTGCTGAAATTTTAAACTGAAAATTTTCAAAAAATAAGTCAATCATTTCTTGCAGATTTTTTCCCCCTGTACACACCGACCGGGGCAGAAGAAATCTTCCACCTCTTAGTAACAACATTCACAGGGCTGAGGCAGGGCTCTTCAAATCACAGCAGCAAGGGAGGTTTCGGTGGGTGTTGGCGACCCACGAGCCCGGAGTCGCCCCTGAAAGACCTAGGAGGGGTATTTTTAGCTGCTGGCTGGAAACGATTGCAAGGGGATGTCGGGCCCCCGGGATGCAACGCCCCAGGTTCTGGGAGGCCCTGCTCTGGAACTGCGTCTCCACACAGCCAGGATATCTAAGCGCCAGCGCATCTCCGGAGCCGCAGATGCTCGGTGAAGACGCGTCCACCTCTCCCGGCTTGGTAAGGACCACCTCCCCGCCGACCAGGATTGGGGCGCGCGCCCCTCGGTCCCTCCCTACGGCCCTCTACGGAATCCGATTTTGTTTCCTTCCCTCCCAGCTCCCAGCCCCACGAAGCTTCCCGCTCGTTCCTCAGCGGCTCGGGTGCAGGGGTCCCCGGTCCTCACCTGCGCGCGGACGGTCAGAGGAGGGCGAGCGGCTCTGCCGCAGTGGCAGCCGGCGGCCAGCTCGCGGGAGGCTCTGCGGAGGCAAGGGAGGCGGGGCGGCTCCGGGGCGGAGCAGCCGTTGCCGGGGTCCGCCCCCTCGGCCGGGTCAAGGCCCAGCACCTATGCTTCACCTTCCCTCTTCCAGTCCTTTCCACCCCAATCCCTCCCGGGGCCTGCCTGGGCAAGGCCAGGAGGGTGTCCACTGCCTGACTCCCTCTTCCATCGATGCCAAGACCAAGGGCCCTTTGATCTCTCATTTGTTTCCTCCGTCCTCCCCACAAGCCTACGTGGAGAGGGAGTGGGGGCAGGGCAGTGTAGAACCTGGGTACTTCGTGGGTGTGCACAGGTGGGCCCTGTGCCCCATCTTTCCGTGGAGTGGAGGCCGATAAACACTTTAGGTTGGGCATGAGGCTAGCAGGCACACTGGTCCCTGAATCACCTGAGCCAGGAGAGCAAAGTAATACAGAGATGTTCCCTGTCGTATAGTGTAGACCAATTGCCTTAGCCACGGCCCGGGACTGCTAACTGGTTACTCAGCAGTGTCCTCCCCTACCCCATTTTATATGGGTATCATTAGGCTAAGATTCAGGACAAGCTCTTCCTGGAAGAGCCAAATAGGACAAAAATGCAGCAACTCAAATGCTCGAGTCTTGTTTTTAATGCATCAGCAGGTGGCTCTTTTGGCTCCTTTGAGTGACCTCAAGGACTCTTGGAATGATCCACCAAGAGGCCTAAGTAGTGTTCTGTTGGACCACCCCTCCTTGTGGCTCCTGAATACCTGGAAGGAAGAACTAAGGTCTGGGCTATGTCCTGGGCCTTCCCGTTCTCCTGGAGAGCTAGACCCTATATGCCACTAGTCTCCTGTCCTGTGCAGATAGGGCCAAACCCACTAAGAGTTCGGGGGGCTTTCAGAGAAGAATGCCCCTGATTTGAGACCTCTGAGCCCAGAGACAAGGGCTCCAAGCTGTGTGTGTGTGTGTGTGTGTGTGTGTGAGCACCAGTCACTCACCCTGAGTTATTTGAAATGGACCCTTGCTGGGAGATTTGTACAGGATCTGCAATGGGGATGTGTAACAGTCAGTGAATGCTTGCTGAATTACAAGACTTACTTTCTTTGAAAGCTTTGGGTCAATGAAAGGTAAGGCAACTGACCGAAAGCTGAGGCATCTCTGCACCCAGGGGGCCATAAGCCCACAAGCAGCTGCTGATGCTCTACCTACACCGGAGGTCAGTGACTTTGGTTCTAAGAAGTGAATGGCTGACCTTAACATCCTCAGTGATTCCCCAGGAGCTGAGAGAAGGTTCCTGGGCTTAAGAGGCCTTAAAATGCAGTTGGCGCTAGTTCTAAAAATAACAGAGATCAGTCCATGTTACCAGCTTTCTTCTTTGCTTCCCTTAATTTAGAGGCTTCGTAAGTGTGAGCACCAGCCTCCTTTGAGAGATCTATGGTCTCCTTTATTTTTCCAAACTTCCCTGGGGACTCTCTGCTCCAGGTACTGTCTCAAACTCCTTTGCAGGTCCCAAACTACTCCTAGTCTTTCAAAGGCACTTCTCCATCAACTCTCCATGTGTGAGAACACACACTCACACACACACACACACACTCTTCCCCATCAATCCTCCACACCTAGGAGCAAACACATACACATGTATATGTATGCAAACCTTTATGGTTTTTCTTGATTATAAAATGATATAGATGTGTCTTACCAGATATCAAACCATACTATAAAGTTACAGTAATTAAAACAGCCTGGTTTGGGCACAGGAATATACCAAGAGATCTAAAGAGATAGAAAAGAGATAGGCCAATATTAGAGTAATGGCTATGGGATTTAGTTTAACATAAAAAGGAGATTGAAAGAACACATTTCTCAACTGAATTGAGAAAAAAATCCCAATCACTCATCAGTCACAGAAATAGATTTTAGATAGATAAAAAGTTTAAATGTAAAAAGAGGATTTAATATCCTAAGAAAATATAAGAGAACATTTTTATGATCTTTGGGAAGGAACAGCCTCTTCCAGCATGAAATCAAAGCAGGAAGATAAAGTCAACAACAATCTCGCAGGAAAAAAAAAAGTAAAACAGCTGCATGGAAAAAGACATCTTCAAAAAAAAAAAGATAAATTGTGGGGAAATATGTAAGAATGTGATAGCAAAGAGTGAAAAATCATAGTGTATAGTGAGGTCATACCAATCTAGAAAAATAGGAATATCTAGAATAGGAAAATGGACAAATAACACAAGAAATATAAAAGGCCAGGAAACATGGCAAAGATGCTTAATCTCATTACTTACCCCCAAATTGCCAATGAAAACTTTGACATCTTTAAACAAGATTTTTCTTGACTGATCAGTTCAGCAAAGCTTGAAAAAGATCTGCGGTGCTCTTGTGTTGGAGAAGGTGTGGGGGAAACAGTCCCCACTCGAAGCTTCTGGGAGGTGACATGCCCTGGTTTTCTTCCCACCTCTCCGGATGCCCCCTACATGCTTTTTGCTGGTTTGTGCTCCTCTCCCAAGAGTTTCTTAAGATTCTGTCCTGGGCCCTCTTTCTTCCTCACTCTGTACCCCCTTTCTCGGTAATCTCATTCCTGCCCCTGGCTTCAGTTCTACTCACGGAAGCCTTTTGAATGCATGTGTCCTGCTCAGGCTTTTCCTCTTGAGCTGTAGACCTAGTGAATGGTCTGATTTCTTTTGGATGTCTTAGAGGCATCTCAGTTTCATAGGTCTCCAGCTGAGCTCCTCATCCTCCTCCAGCAAACCATCAACTTCTCCAGAGTTTCTTGTCTCAGTGGATGGCACCCTCACTCATTCAAGTGAGCAAGTCAGAAAACCGAGGGTTCTCTTTGCTAATCGTTCCCTTGTCCGTCATCATCAATCAGTCACTACGGACTGCTGGCTTTACCCTCCTAATTATCTCTCCAATGTGTCCTGCATCTCTGCCACCACCACAGCCTGAGCCAGGGTTTGTTGATCTAGGCACTATTTCTATTTCAGGCCAGGGGGGGTTCTTTGTGTGTCTTGTAGGATGTTTATTTAGTGGCATTCCTGACCTTAATCTGCTAAATGCCAGTAACATCCCCACACACTGTGTGACTCTCAAAAGTGTTCCCAAAGATTGCCAAAGGTCTTCCGAGGGGTGAAATTTCCCTGGTTGAGAACCACTGGCCTAAACTACCACTCTCTTTCTCCTGGATGTTGGCAATGGTCTTACTTAGCTTTTGGTATCTACTTTCTCCCTTTCACATCCATTTTTTCCACTGCCACCAGCCTCATCTCTTTAAAACACAAATCCCACCCTGTCAACCTCTCCTTAAGAAACTTCTGTGCTGTCCATTCCTCAGTGGATGCAGATTCAAATCCTCAAGGTGACCTAGAAAGCCCTGCACTGTCTGGTCCCTGCTTCCCTCTTGGGGCTTATTTGAGCCACATCCTGCTCCTCGCTTTATGCCCTCAGGGCATACCAGCCTTCTTTCAGTTTTTCAAATATGCCACAGGGCCTTTGCACAGAACTTCCTCGGCCCATGGTGTCTGTCCCTTCTTCCATCCTTCTCTAATTAGCTCGTGTTTACTCTTTCATTCTCAGCTCAGAACTTCATGGATAGCTCCCGACACTCCTCAGTCCGGGTCGCACATCCAACCTGAGTCAGGCCCTCAGTGGTGTGCTTCCTCCACAGGCATTCCTTTCCTTCAGCTGGTGTTTTATTATGATAATTGTTGGGCGAGTGGCACCTGTTGCCTCCCACCAGGAGCAGCAGTCCCAGGATGTCAAGCCCCTGCATAGTTTGCAGGTGTTGGGGTTGCTGGGAGAGACATGACTCACACAGGCTCTGGGGGAACAACACTTTACTCACATAGAGAAGAGACAGAGCAAGATCTGCTTCAATAGCCAGTGTCTGTCTCCTCCGCTCAGCGGGTCTTCCCGCCTGGCCAGCACAGGGAGACGGCCTGCACGCACATCCCCTTTGCACTTCAGGCCAAGGACCCCATGTCCTCCCCCACAGGGT